ATTTACATTTAAGCTTAATATTGTTATGTGTGAATTTGATCCTGGCACGGGGATCAGGACCCATTTAAAGAAGCACTTTGACTGTCCCTTGGTGGAGTGGGTGTGCTTCAGTGGGGGGTAACCCACTTATCTGGGCTGCCCAGATTTCTCCGAACTAGCAGGAGGAAAAACTAAGTCGGCTGGACTAAGACTGCGGCCACCCCTCCCCATAGGGGCTCAGGCCCAGGAGATGAGAGTTCTGTCCCTGAGAACCGGTGTGGAGTTGCTGGAGTTCCTGCAGGGAGGCCCCACCCAGTGAGGAGGGATGGGTCCGTCCTGAAGAGGCACTCTGGCCAGTCTGCCACAGCTGATGTGTTGGGCTGTGGGGGATACTTCTTGGAAACAGGCCATCCAACCTTCCTGGCGCCAGTAGGGGAAAAGTGTGGCCTGGAGCTATAGAGATGGCTGCCACCTTTCGCTTGCCCTGGGAACTTAGTGTGTTAGGCAATGATCAGTCCCAGTGCTGGCTGCCGCCCATCCCCCGAGGAGCTCAGCTGACTTAGACAGCAGGCAACCACAGCTGTGGTCCTGGCGGCCCCTTCCCCTGGGATCCCGGCAGCCTTAAGGAGATTCTAGTTAAATGACTGTTGAGAATCTGCATGGCTCTGTGGTTGGGACCCTAGGCCCCAGTGGCGTGGGCTCACGAGTGGGATCTTCCGATCCGTGGGTTGCACAGCTCTGTGGATAAAGCTCGGTTTCACAGGCCAGGTAGCACGCTCACTCACCGCCTCCCTTGACTGGGGGATGGGGGCTTCCCTGCCCCACAGCTCTCAGGTGGGCCGCTGCACCACACTGCTCTTCCTCTCCGTGGGTCTTGCCAGATGCCTAGTCAATTCTAATGTCAGAACCTGGATACTTTGGTTAGTGTTGCGGGATTTGCTCACTTTTATGGTTCTTTTCCATGGGAGCCTCGGATTACTACTGCTTCTAGTCAGCCATCTTGGCCCTGCCCTGCTGTGACATCTTGGTGTTTTGAGGCAGGGAGGCTTTTGGGGCTGAGGAGTACTGGGATTTCAGTGCTTTTTTAGATACAAATGTTTTCACAATGGAAAGTCCTCTAGCACTGAGGCTGGATCTGAGCAGGGCTTTATCCGGAAACTCTATCTTAGGTCCTGAGGCCTGTACTGTGGGAGGGGTCCTAGCCAGGGCACTGAGGCCTCCTGAGATGCTTCCACCACATTTTTTTCTGAAGCACCTACCCCCAGAAAAGCTGTTCTCAAAGCCCCAACCCCAGGGGGCACGACCTTTGCCAAGGGACTGCGTATGAGAATCTTCTGGAGTCATGAAGAGTTCAGATGTCCAGGCCCATGTCAGACCAATTAAATTGGCATTTTTAGGGTGGATCCTGAGTCCAGGTTTGTAAACATTTTTGTCAAAATTTCCCAGATGATTCTAATGGGTGGCCAGGATTGAAAGCTACCAGACTCCACCCCAAACCCCATATATCCTTGAGGCCTGGAGGAGCACTGACCCATCTGAAGTGTCATGGCTTCAGCATCACACAGTTCACATTTATGGAACATTTACTGCACTCCAGGTGCTGCTCTGAGCATGTTACATGATTTAACTCCTTCAGCTCTGCCCCCAGTCTGTGATGTCAGTGTTATCATCAACAGGCGAGGACACCAAGGCCCACGGTGGTGGTTGCCTTGTCCCAGGTCGCAAAGCTAGAAAGTGGCAGAGCCGGGAAGTGGTCCAGGCAGTTGAGATCCTGCCCATGCTGTCCTAACCACTGTTCTGTGGAAGTTCAGTAATCATCTGAACACTACCACCATTAGGAGCTCTGTGCACATCCTCTCCAATCCTCGCAGAACCTAGAGTGGGGGCCGTGATTATCAGCATCACACAGATGGAGAAACCAAGGACTCAAGGGAAGGCAAGCCTGGCCTAAGATTACACAGCCTTGAAATAGCACCTCAATTTGGGGATGCTTAGAATGTGCTAGGTGATTTACAGAGAGAACCTCAAATCCTATCCTCTCTCCTAAAGGAGTCGTGATGATCACCATTTTACAGATGAGGAAACTGAGGCTGAGAGAAATGAAGGCACTGCCTCCTTGTCCTCCATGTGTCCCAGTGGGCACCTCCTGTGTTGCACCAAGCACTCCTGTCCATCAACAGAGCAAGTGCCCTGAATTCTTGAGCCCCAACACTGACCGCACTCTTAATTATGCCTTCGAGATTCTTGACTTCATTCAATTCTAGTGAGAAGCCTCCCTCTTGGGTGTCCAGGCCCAGATACCCTGTAGCCATAAAACACTGTGGGCTCCTGACAGCCCAAGGGGAGCATGGAAACTTGCTCCTATGGGCCCGATGAACCCCATAGGAAATACGTCATCTCCTCATCCTTAGTCCTTAGCACCAACAAGGGGTGGGCACGTGCTCTGCTGGGCTGCAGGAGGCCCGACTCTGCTCCGTAGATGCTGCTCAGTGAAGGAGAAACAGCGTAACACAGGGGTAGAGTCCTAAATGCTTCATGTGTGCTGAAACCTGTCCTTTAGGAACAAGCTTGATATATGAGACACATGCAGGACCTTTCTGATGGGAGTGTAAAGCTAGCCCCTCCTTTTTTTTTTTTTTTTTTTTCATTTTATTTGTCTGCTTGTTTGTTTGTTTGTTTGTTTGTTTGACTGACAGAGTTTCACTCTTGTTGCCCAGGCGGGAGTGCAATGCTGCGATCTCGGCCCACTGCAACCTCCACCTTCCGGGTTCAAGCAATTCTTCTGCCTCAGCCTCCCCAGTAGCTGGGATTACAGGCACGTGCCACCATGCCTGGCTAATTTTGTACTTTTAGTAAAGACAGGGTTCTCCATGTTGGTCAGGCGGTCTCAAACTCCTGACCTCAGGTGATCCACCGGCCATGGCCTCCCAAAGTGCTGGGATTACAGGCGTGAGCCACTGCACCCAGCCTCGGTTTTGTTTTTAATGCTTTTTGCTATGGAACTGAACAATGCCAGAGTTTGGAAAGAGAAGGCTGGAGCATTTCTCCACACTTGAAAAACCAGAGCTGAGTGAGTACTGCAGAGATAAGGGCCGTGAGTCAGGCTGGTAGGGAGGAAACCTTGGCTCCCTGACTTGCTCACCACTCAGGTCTCCTCTCTGAGCCTCAGTGTCCTCATCTTTAAAGGAGGCAACAAATGGCTCCTCCCTCATAGCGCTGGTTATAAGGAGACTCTGGCACAACTGCAGCTTCCTGGCTCCCTTCCCTGCCTCCCTCCTTTGTCATCCAGGGCATCATTTAGGCTAAGAGCATGGCAAAGAGGGGTGAGCACCCTATTAGGAATTAGCAGATCTGAGTCACACCTGAGCTACTTTCTGGCTGTGACTGCCTGGGCTGGGGAGGCACCATCTGGAAACTTCAGTGTCTTTGCCTATATTATCTGCACAATCAGAATAAAGCCACTTCCACATCTATGTTCAAGGGTTGTGGGAAGCCCTGTTGCTATACCATCTAGGAGGGAAATTAGACAATATTCTCATATATGAAAACACACACACCCTCTAACTTAGCAATGTCACTTCCAGTGGGTGTCTCCCACCTGAGTAGGGTGATACATGTACAAAGCCATCCACTGCAGGATTGTTAGTAGCTCAAGTTTGGGAACAACTTACATATCCATCAACAGGATGCTGTGAAATAAATTTTGGTATTTCCATAAATTGGAATATTCTGCAGCTGTTAAAGAGTGGAGCAGTTCTATGTCCCGATGTGGAATCTCAATATGGAATGATAGGGCTTATGTTTGGAGGAAGTTTTCCAACCACCAGTGGGTTTTAGTGTCTGAATGTGAGGTGCATTCTGAACCTTTGGGAAATGGATGAAAAAAGAAATCCCAGCTCCCTGATCCATGGTTCTGTCTGAGGAGCTTTTATTTAGCACCTGTGATGCACCAGGTTCTTCTGTGAAGACAGTGTCTTAACAAATGCTGGGGAAGGAAGGAGCCTGCCTCGATCCGGACCTGGACTCTAGCTTTGATTCCATCAATAACTGGCCCTGTGACTGTGGACAAGGCCCCTGTCATCTCTTGGCTTAAGTCTCCCATCTGTAAAGGGGAGTTGGGCTGAAAGCCTGAAGGTCTTTCCCATGTTGGAATGTCAGGATTCAGGAGGTAGGATGAGGATTCTGGGCCTCTGGCTGGAAACCCCAAATAGGTTTTATTGCTGCCTTAAATTGGGCACCCCTGAGCCAGCCGTATGTATGACCTCTTTCCTGAGGTGAGGGATATTCTGAGATGACCCAGCTCTGCTCAGAGCCCACAGTGACTGTATGACTCAGTCCTGAAATCACACAAGGCTTCAAATAGACCCACAGCAAACACCAAACTTGTTGGCATCTCCTCCCACCAGGCCATCAGACTGAAGAGTGAATCTGTGCCTCCCAGGAATCTTCCCTGTGTGATGTTTCTGAAGATTAAATAAAGAAAAACACGATTTACACTCTCCATCCCCTGGATGAATTTCTCCTCATTAGAATGGAAGAGAATGTAAGCTTGGTGGAGGAAGAGCTATTGGCTGTTTCATTCACTGCTGTTTGCACAACATCCAGGGTGGAGTCTCGCACACAGTGGGTTCTTAGTGAGTGCCTGTTGCATAAAGAAGAGACTTGGCCAGCACTCTTTGGAGGCTGCAGGTGAGCTCTGGCCCTGTACCCGGGCAAATCACTCAATCTGTCAGTTTCCTCATTCGTGGAACTAAAGGGCTGGGCCAGATTGGGAAGGACAAGAGCTGTAGAGCCAGACAGATTGGAGATGCAGTCTTTCCCATCATTTACCAGCCATGGAACCTTGAGCAATAGCGTGATGTCCCTGGGTCTTAACTCACCTGATCTGTAGAAGGGGGTGACATCAGGTCATGAAAATGAGCACCCACCACCACACCTGATTGTTGCTCAAAGAATGGAAGGTGCTATTATTGAGTTATTGTCACACATCAAGGGATGAGGGAGATCCATGCTGTACTCACCACGCAAAGCCATCTCAGTGCCTGGTCCAGACTTAAACTCCACGTTCTCAGGGCTCCCTTTTCGAAACTTCACACAGTAGTAGGTGCCGGCATCTGCTGGGGTGATGCTACTGATGCGGATGGAAAAGTCCATGTTGTTTCTTTTTGTGAGGTCTGAAACAGTTGTTACCCGGGGGAAGTGGCCTTCTTTTTGATTGTAGATTAATTCTCGGCCTGGTCCAACTCCTCTGAACCACAGGACAGGTCCCACGGGAAGCAAGGAGGTCACAGTGCAGTGCAGAGTGGCCGACTCTCCAACTGCGACCAACAGGAGCTTCTCAGGTTGAATCATCTGTAGCTCCTCTTCACCTGCCACTTCTGGAAAGGAGCACAAAGCAATCATTTTTTCATCCTTACATAATTCTGTATTTCCTCGTGTTTATCAAAGACATTCAGTGACTGGGTGCACATCAGGAATCAGGAGCAGGACTTGATCTCAGCACACTGCGTGTATTATCTCATTTAACCCTCACAACAAGCCTATAACATGAGGTCGTATTACAATTGAGGGCACTGAGCCCTGAGGCACAGAGAGTTTCAATTTTTTTTTTTCTTGTTGATAGAGCGTTTGAGAGAGTGTTCTTTTTTTTTTTTTTTTTTTTTTTTTTTTTTTTGGAGACGGAGTCTCACTCTGTCGCCCAGGCTGGAGTGCAGTGGCCGGATCTCAACTCAATGCAAGCTCCGCCTCCCGGGTTTACACCATTCTCCTGCCTCAGCCTCCCGAGTAGCTGGGACTACAGGCGCCCGCCACCTCGCCCGGCTAGTTTTTTGTATTTTTTAGTAGAGACAGGGTTTCACCGTGTTAGCCAGGATGGTCTCGATCTCCTGACCTCGTGATCCGCCTGTCTCGGCCTCCCAAAGTGCTGGGATTACAGGCTTGAGCCACCGCGCCCGGCCAAGAGAGGGTCCTGTTCTGTTGCCTAGGCTGGAGTGCTGAGGCATAATCATGGCTCACTGAAACTTCAACCTCTCAGGCTCAAGTGATCCTGCTACCTCAGCCTCCAGAGTAGCTAGGACCACATGTGTACACCACCATGCCAGGCTAATCTTTGTATTTTTGTAGAAACAGGTCACACCATTCTGCCCAGGTTGCTCTTACTTGAGTGCAAGTGATCCACTTGCCTCGGCTTTCCATAGTGCTGGGATGGCAGGTGAGAGCATCAAGCCCAGCCAAGGGATTCAATTTCAAGGTAGAGCTTTGGGTTGAGGACCTGGGTAGAACTCCTGAACTCTACTTTGAAGTGTTCATATATATATACACACACACACACACACACACGTATATTATATATATAATATATATACACATATATATTATACAGCTTTTAAATACACACATACACACATATATAATATATAATATATTGCATATTATATATTTAAATACACATATATTTAAATATGTGTGTATGTGTGTATTTAAATATATAATATGTAATATAATATATTATATATATGTGTGTATGTGTGTATTTAAAAGCTGTCAGTAAAGCTATGTGTCTTCTGCAGGCTGTTTTTTGCCTTTCCAAATTCTAGAGGCTGTCCACATTCCTTTCTCACTGTCACATCTTCCCATCACTCTAACATCTTGCTTGCATCCTCACATGTCCTTCTCAAATAGTTAGTCTCCTTCCTCCTTCTTATAAGGACCCTTCTGATACATCGGGCCCACTCTGACACTAGATCCAGTATTAAAACCACTGTCTTAAAAAAGCTGAAGAAAGTAAAGGAAACAATGGACAAAGAACTAAAACAGCAGGAATATAAACACATTAACAAAATAAGAACAGCCAGAATGAGAAATTATGAAGAGAAATCCAATAGAAACTTTGAAGTTGAAAATACAACAATTGAAAGTTCAGTAGAGGGGTTCCCTAACAGGTGTGAGCAGGTGGAAGAAAAGTCATAAAGCTGCAAGATGGAATAATTAAACTTATTAAGACTGAGGTATGGATGGAAAATGGAATAAAGTATAGAGAACAGAATCTAAAGGAATTCTGGGACACTATCAAATGGATTGAAATATACATTATTAGAGTCCCAGGGGGAAAAAGAAGAGGAAGAGAAAAAGGAGCAGACGATTATTTGAAGATATCATGGCCAAAACCTTCACAAACTTAATAAAATACATGAATGTACAAATTTAAAGACACTGAAGAAATGCAAGTTTAGCTCAAGGATAGAATCTGAGACCCACACTAAGGTACATTATAATTCAACCATCAAAAACTAAATTCAAAGAATCCTGAAAGCAGTGGGAGAGAAACGATTCCTCGCATTCAAGAGACCCTCAGTAAGATTATCAGCTGAGCTCTTATATAAAGTATTGGAGGCCAGAAGACCGAGGGATGATGTGTTCAAAATGCTGTAAGAGGAAAAACCTGTCAACCATGAATTCTATACCTGGCGAGAGTGTCCTTCAAACACAAGGGAGAAATTAAGACATTCTCAGATAAACAAAAGCTATGATAGATCATGACCACAAAACCTTGCTTACAAGAAATGTTAAAAGGAGTGCTTCAGGTGGAAATGAAAGGATGCTATATGGCAAATCAAAGTTATATGAAGAAATAAAGATGTCCAGTTATATGTAATTTTTTTTTAAAATCGTATTTACCTGATACCTCAACATCCCACAAACAAGTTGTGAGCACCCTGCCAAACCAGGTACAACACTGTGATAAAGCTAGTCCCAGCCACAATTCCTCTTCTTGTCTTCCTCTACTGTGACCTAGTGACACTGAAACATTCTAGTAAAACCCATCATGCTTTTTCTTTGTGTCCTCCATCCTGACTCCCAGTAAAGGCAATGGTTTCCCATCTCTCGTCTCTCTTGCTTCCCCATCTGCTTGGTTGAGTCTTCTCCCTGGGAGCTCCTCCCATATGGCTTCCTGTGTGGCATGCCCTACCCCGCTATGCCTCTCCAGATGAAATTTTCATAACCATGTTAGAGTGATCCTTTAAGACATAACCTGCAGGACTTACTCTACCATTTTCATCAGTAGTGGCAATGAAGAGGGGATTATTCTAAACCGGGGTAGAAAGTTCCTAGGAGATGCACTTTGAGTGTTCATGGCTTACTGATTTGCTACTTATTGGCTCCACGAATTTGAGAAGGCTTTTTACCCTGATGGCTTTCCTGTGCTGTGCTATACACAGTTATGTGTTGCCTTCTGGAGTGCTGCCAAAGCTCTCTATCCTAAAGTGTGTATCCTATTCCAATATCAATAATGACAGCCGCATTTCTTCAGAGTACAGCATGATATAGCAACCTCTTCAAAGAAGACTCGTATGATACTTACAATAATGTCACATAATCCAGAATCTCTAAGTTGTTCTGAGGTACCAGTGGCAATGTATTCTTCATTTACAAATTTTACTTACAAATTAAAATCATAGACACTCCTTTTAGTGCTTTCAAACAAACAAAAATACCTCTTCTCTCTAGAGACTTTGGCAATGATTTTCATTCCTCTTGGAATCTCTAGACCACTCCTGATGGTCATAAACTTCCCCAGGGCTTCTAATGCAAAATGAAAAATAAAACAAAACAAAAAAAGCCCCTCTCTGCCTTGTTCTTTACTTCATTCTAACAAAAAATGACTAGAATCTACTGGCTTGTGTTCCAGATCGAGGGGGAATACTTTCTGTTGCAAGCATTAACCACTGGTTGTCCCACAGGCCAGTCCCTGCTCATCTGAAATGGGTCTCATTGGAACTTAAACTTCTACTGAAACACAAAATTTAAATTTCTGTCAGGTACAGCTGCACACCTTTCTGTTGACAGTGGTATTATTACTACTGGATTTGTTGATGCAACAGTCCTCAACCAAATACTAGCTAACTGAATTGAACAGCATGTTAGAAGGATAATAAACCATGAGCAAGTGGTATTTATTCCTGAAATACAAGTATGTTTCAATATACGAATGACAAACAAACAATATGGTATGCCTCATTTATAGAACAAATAGAAAAAACATCTATTTTGATCCTGATAAAATTTTGATCTGTTTTGATCAAAGCATCTATTTTGATCATGATAAAAACATGATCATCTATTTTGATGCAGAAAAGCATCTGATAAATTTGTACATCTATTTATGATGAAAGCAATCAATAAAAGGGATATATGAATACTTTCACAAGATGATTAACATTCACATACTCATACTTTATTTTTATTGTACTGATCATTGCCAAAAATTAATTTTTTCATTCACCTATTTACTATGTGTGTTGATTACTGTCTTTCTCCCCAGTGGATGCAAGCAGCAAAAGGGCAATTACTTTTTCTTTTTTATTCTACCAAAGTACCCCATGTTTCTATATCAGATCCTGGCACACAGTAGGTATCCAATAGGTATGTGTATAATGTTTGAATTGCTCAGTGGGACATTTCCCTAGAAGACTGAAATCTTCTATTTTAGGTGGTTTGCTTCTGTGGAATTTGACAGAAAATGAGTTTCCCATGTAGAGGACTTAGTGGAAAAAAACAACAACAACAATCAATTTGCAAACATATAGAAAGTAGAAGAGCCCAGAGAAGAAAACCACAATCCTCCTTCACACCACATCGCCCACTCCACTCCCAAGAGCAGCAGCTGCAGAAATCGCATGGAATAGAATCAAGGCCGGAAGTGTTTGAGTAATGGTGAAACCTGTGACCTCTAGAGTCAGAGTGCCTGAGTTCAAATCATAACTCTACCAGTTACCAATGAGTGAGCTTGCAGCACTTTGTGCTTCTGTTTTCTTATGTGAGGGAATGTGACAAGAATATCTACTTTGTATATAATGATCACATGAAGTAAAAGATGTAAAGCATTTCCAACAGTGTCTGTCATATGGTGAATGTTCAAAAATTGTAAAGTTATTGCCTGGTAGATTTCCTAAGGCTTGGAGGCTTCAGTGGACATTAGATGACAAGGATAAGGATAAGGATATGAATACAGATATAAATATAACTATAGTTATAGGTAATATAGGCAGATCTGTGTCATTTGTATCCTCACAGTTTTTTCCTCATCTCTACCATTCATGGAAGAGGAAATTTCAGAATAGAAATGCACAGAAATTCAGTTTTGAGGGAAAATGCATTTTACCAAGGGAGAAGTTTGCTTGCCTGTTGCTTATATTAACAGACTGGGAGACTTTGAGTGGTAAGATTAGAGAATTAGGAAGAAGGCAGAATGGCTGGGCAATAGAGAAAACCACACATCTCTTTAATGCACATTTCATGTAGACTGAAAAAATGAGTTGAAGGTTATAGTAAATAAAGTGTTTTTAAAATCCTGTGTGTGTTTCAGCATGGTCACATGAGATTTATCTCAGGAATGCAAGGATGGTACAACATTCATAAATCTCCAAATGTGATATGCTACGTCAAGGCAATCTTGAGCAAAAAGAACAAAGATGGGGCCAGGCATGGTGGCTCATGCCTGTAATCCCAGCACTTTGGGAGGCTGAGGCGAGCAGATCACGAGGTTAGGCGATCGAGACTGTCTTGGCCAACATGGTGAAACCCTGTCTCTACTAAAAACACAAAAAATTAGCCAGACATGGTGGTGCACACCTGTAGTCCCAGCTACTTAGGTGGCTGAGGCAGGGGAATCATTTGAACCCGGGAGGTGGAGATTGCAGTGAGCCAAGATTGCACCACCATACTCCAGCCTGGTGACAGAGTGAGACTCCTTCTCAAAAAAAAAAAAGAACAAAGATGGAGGCACCACACTGCCTAATTTCAACATTGACTACAGTTTCAAAGTAATCAAAAATGCATGGCACTGGCATAAAAAGAGACATTTAGACCAATAGATCAGAACAGAGAACCCAGCAATAAACTCACACATTCACACTCAGTTGACTATTGACAAAAGTGTGAAGAAAACACAATGGTGAAAGATCTGTCTCTTCAAAAAGTGGTGTTGGGAAAACTGGATATCCATGTGTAGGGGAATGAAATTAGACCCTCTTCTCATGCTGCATACAAAAACAACTCAAAATGGATTAAAGACTTAAATGTAAGATCTGAAACTGTATAAGAACTAGAAGAAAAGTTTCATGACATTGGTCTTGGCAATACATTTTTGGATTTGAGCCCCAAAGCACAGGCAACAAAAGCAAAAATAGACAAATGGCATTAATAACAAACTAAAAAAGCTTCTACACAGCCAAGGAAACAATCAACAGAGTGAAGAGACAACCTACAGAATGGAAGAAGACATTTGCAAAGCGTACATCTAATAAGGAGTCCGTATACAAAATATATAAGGAAGTCAAACTTCTCAACCATAAGAAAACAACTCTATTAAAATATGGGCCAAAGATCCAAATAGACATTTCTCAAAAGAAGATATTAAGATGGCAAGTCAGCATATTAAAAATATCCAATCTTACTATTCATGAGATAAATGCAAATTAAAACCGCAGTGAGCTATCATCTCACACATGTAAGAATGGCTATTATCAAAAAGAGGAAATTTAACTAGTATTGGAGAAGATGTGGAGAAAAGGGAACGCTTGCAAACAGTTGGTGGGAATGTAAATTAGTAGAGCCATTAGTGAAAACAGTATGCAGGTTCCTCAAGAAATTAAAAATGTAACTCTTATCTGATCTGGCAATCTCACTACTGGCATATATCCAAAGGAAATAACATCAGCATGTCACAGAGATATCTGCACTTCCATGTCCATTGTCGCATTATTTACAATAGCCAAGATATGGAATCAACCTAGGTGTCTATCAGCAGGTAAATGGAGAAAGAAAATGTAGTATATATGCACAATGAAATTCTAATCAGCCTTACAAAAAGGGAAATCCTGTCATTTGCAACAACGTGGATGAACCTGGAGGACATTCTGCTAAGTGAAATAAGTCAGGCACAGAAAGACAAACACTGTATGATTTCACTTATATGTAGAATCTAAAAAGTTGAACTCATAGAAGTAGAAAGTAGAATGGTATTTATCCAGGGTTAGAGAGGGGGTGCAGTTGGGGAGATATTAGTCAAAGGATACAAAATTTCAATTTAGATAAGAGAAATAAGTTCAAGATATCTATTGTACAATGTGGTGTTTATACTTAATAATATGAGTTGTATTCTTGAAAACTGCTGAGATAGCAGAGTTTATGAGTTCTCACAATAAAAAATGATAAATATATAAGGTAATGCATATGTTTATTAGTTCAAATTAGTCATTCCACAATGAATGCATATTTCATAATATGTTGTACATAAATATGTATACTTTTGTCAAATAAAAATAAAATAAAATATTTATTTTGCTAAAAATTTCACTGAAAATAGAAAATTAAATAAAAAGTTGGAGAAACAATGATTAAAAATGAAATCTCATATGTGCATGTACATGTACATGCATATGCACATGTGCGTATATATATGTGTATATGTAATGTATACACAAATATATATAAAAGTTTGGCCTATCATGTTAGTACGTAAGGTTGTTTTGTGCATTAATTACAATTATTACAAATTTAAAAATCTCAGTAAAATATTTGGCACATAGAAATCATCCAACATATTTTTAACAACATTTTGGAAATACATACATATGCTAGCATTTTACCTCTGTTTGTTTCTGACTGGCGTGATGGGTGACTATTAATCTAACGTTTGCTTCCCTGCATTTTCTAATATTTCTGCACATAGCATAACATGGCTAAAAGGGTGATCAACTCTGGAGCTGGTCAACCTGGACTTGATCCCAACTGCTCCATGGACTGAGGTAGGGGACAATGAACAAGTTCCTCCCTCTGCCTCACTCCTCATTTGCAAACAGGGCACAAGAGTTGTAGCTTTCACACATGGATGTTGTAAAGATTAGTTGACTTCATACAAGCAAAATGATAAGTGTGTCTACCTTACAGGAAGAGAGCAATTGCTGAACTATTACTGCTATCATTTGGGTACAGTGTATGTGTAAGAAAAATAATTTGAACAGTGAGACCCTTGCCCTCTACGACCTGTGAGGTGACATCACAGGAAGGCCCAGTGGGCAACTGAGAGGCTATTGTGCCCAGCCCTGTGACCAGCAGTCAGCTGCATGGTCTGAAAAGGGGTGAGGACAGGCAGCCTGTCTGGGAGCAGTGAACAGGGCTCCCCCAAGTGGCACCAGGAAAGACCTCCCAATCCTGTCTGCTTGGGGGAAGGGAAAATAAATTCTCCAGAGGAAAATCAAGATGACTAAGGGAGTTTGTGGTGCCTGTTATGGGCTGAATGTGCCCCCAAAGCAAATGGGTTGAAGCCCCAGTCCCCAGCGCCTTAGAATGTGACCATATTTGGAGACAAGGTCTTTAACCCATTTATGCCTGAGGTTGCAATTTTTTTAATTTGAAAAATCAGAACTTAGTGATGCCCTTGAGCAGTAGGATATAAATAACTCCCGCAAGCTTAGTGATCCAATAATGGAGCACTAGGCATAAATGGGTGAAGCAATTTAGTTAAATGAGGTCATTGGTGGGGAGCCTTAATCCAATATGGCTGACGTTCTTATAAGAGAAAATGAGAACACAGACACACACAGAGGAAGGCCATGTGTTAAGACACATGGAGGAGATAGCTTTCTACAAGCCAAGGAGAAAGACCTCAGTAGAAACTAACCCTGCTGGCACCTTGATTTTGCAATTCAGCCTCCAGAACTGAAAGAAAGAAAGCAAATGTCTATTGTTTTAGTCACTGAGTCTGTGGTGCTTTGTTATGGAAGCCCTAGGAAAGGAATATAGGGCGCTGTAAGTATGAAATGTGGAACTTCTTAAAGAGGAGGAGGGCACAGGAAAGTGGGTGGGAGGACTCAAGACAGGTAAGGATTTAATAATGATTCTTCTGTGTTCGTCAAATAAAATATTATAAAAATGTAAGGAATTGTGATGGTGGCAGAAGCATCACAAGGTTTGATGCCTCTGGTAGCCAACTGCAGATCCACAGAGAAAGTGCTCAGCTCCCTGATCTTCTGCTTTTGGACAATGTCCAGTCCTTGACTTTCCTTGGCAGTGCTTGTGCTGATCTGAAATCGCTGCAAGTCCAGAGGCAAGGCTAGGTCCAGAAGGCAGGGAGAAAGGGTTCTAGCCCAATGCAATGCTCACCTGTAAATCCCAGCAGTAGAGTCAGAAGCAGGAAAGGACCAGGAGGGTGGGACCAGGAGGCTGGGACAGGCATTCTGGAGACCTCAGAAGCCTGCTCTGTTCAAACGTCTGTTCTGGGGAGATCTCAGTCCCTTCTCTGAAGAGAGAAGACAAGCCCTGCCTCCCTCAATTCAAGAGGAAGTGGCTGTGATGGAGTGCAACAGTAACCGGGTTCTAGATTGTGACATACAAATCAGGCACAGCAGGCAGCTACAAAGCAAGGAGTTACTTGTGCTCCATTTTCAGGAGAATCAAACAGGTTAGCAGAAATAATGCTCCCTGCCTGCCTGGGGCCTGTGCTCCCTCCTCATGACCCCAACCCCATTTTCAGGTCTTCTTGGTGATTTGCCATTTGGGGCTTTTAAGTCAAGAAAGACCTGTTGTTAGGAACTGTTTTCTAAAGTCTTTATTTCAAGACTCTAGGATGTGGTTGGCTTGTGGTCTCGTTCTGCACCAGCCTCAACCAAACGCCACTCAGCTGGAGGTAGGAGAAGGGTTCACAGGACCTGCTCAACACTGGAGAGGAACCAGATCTTCTCCTGAAATGATTTTCTGTTCCAACCTTTTATTCCTATAATTGGCAAAACTTAGCCCAAATTCAGTCTCTTGAGGACCTTAGCACTTTCATTTGCCTGCACCCAGCAGAAGGAATTATTTCTTGACTCCTTCCAGGAGAGAAACTGGGTTTGGGGTAATAATCAACTGATTTGTGGAGGGAGGTGGGGATTGTGGGTTCTGGAAAGGGGATAGGGTTATGATGAGGGAAGATTATGGTAGGCAGGTTCCTGGGGCTGTCATATCAATTTCAATACCCTTTCTTCTACCTACAGAGCACCTATTTCATTCGCCACTGAGTTCAGATAGGAAATGAGGAAAGAGGAAAAATCCATGCTCCCACCAAGAGTGTGTGCCAAGGAGTTGGGGAAGTCACACGGGCCCTTCTATGCTCAGTTTCAATCTCCTAAACTGGGAATAGTAAGTCTTTTTTTGCAGTGTTTTAGTGACAATTAAAGAGATAATGACTATATCATGCCTGAAACCCAGTAGGTCATTATTGATACTCACGGTGCCAGGCACTCAAATGTTGTTTTTGAATGGATCCCTACTGCATGCTGAGTGCTGACCAGTGGCCTTCTCCCAGCAACTCAGGCCTCCTGAGACCCAGCTTATATGGTATATTTGGACTACTCCTGCCACCTTGAAATCAATTTCTCCCTCTGGATTCTCTAAATCCTGCTCCTTGTTCATCCATAGATTAGTTGCTCCTCTTACAATTTCCAGCTGTATGATTTTCAAAAAGACACTACTTCTCTGAGCCTTAGTTTGATTATATGTAAATAAAGGTTAGAATATGCACCTTGTAGAGCTATGGTAGGAATAATACAAGCCATACTGAATGCTTGAATTATAATTAATTATAAGCAAAAAAAAGTGGCTATAATTATTTTCTGTGTACAGTAAGAGTCCACTGGTTCTCTGCCACGGTTGTGCTTTAGAAAAGCCCCCTTGTTAAAATAAATGATTTCTCTTCCAGCATCTATGACTAAGAAAGACCTGTCCAGAATCCTTATTTCACATGTGGGTTTTAGGTCCTTAATCTGTCATGAATAATTGTCAAATCAAATTGTAAATGTTATCATGTTTTAATTGAAAGTTCTGTTTTAATGTGGCAGATGTATACAGGGTGAAATCTTCCCCTCTTTCTCCACATCCACAGTAATGAAAACACAAAATGAAAAGAATATATGAATCAATGTCTAATTACACTTGAATACAAGCAATTGGCCTCTATGTGACATGAAGGAATTACAATAGCTATCATTTATTGAGAGTGTCCTGTGCTCCAGATATGGTGCCAAGCATCTTTCCATTGGTAATGTCATTAAATCATTGCTCTGACCCCATGAGGTAAGCTCAACCATTAACCTCCTTTCACAGGTGAGAAAACCCGAGGCACATGGAGAGTAATGAATCTGCTCAAGATCACCCAGCTTTTAGAACTGGAACATAGGTTGCCACACTCCACAGCCTTCGCTTTTAATGGTTGTACTATGATACCTCTCATAGGAAGGGAGAGGCATCCCTCAGGAAGAAAGCAGAGAAGAAGCCATAGTCTCAATTAGGAGCAGCCCTTGCAGTGAGGCTATGGCAGGTGCAATGCTCCACGAGGCCCTGACAATCCATGATCACGTGAGAAATTATTCCTGGGAAGACGGCAGTGCAAGCAAGAATCCCCAAAGATTTGAGGAACAGCACTGCAGCTAACAAATTCAAGAAAAACAATAACTCAAAAACAAATAACAATGAAAAGAACTTCACACCTGAGCAAATATGAAAAAAAAATGTGTAAAGTTCTTTAAAATTAGTATACTTAATGATCTTATAAGGAAAAGAAGAGGGAAGTAAATTCATAAACCAACATCAGGCATGTGTTAATATGAAACAGAAATAGGCGGGCATGAAGTAACAACAATCCTCTTGAAAACATACCAAAACACAGACTTTGGAAATGAAAACACAATCAGTGCTGACATTTTTTTAAAAACTTAATAGGTTGACTAGCTGACTATACATAAATAAGTGTAATAGTAAGTTAGTAAACTGGGTGATTATGTAGGGGAAATCTATGATACAGCACAGAGACAACCAAACAAAGTAACGTGGATAGGTAAAAATATACCACAATACTGTGGTATATCTTTTCCTATTGCTCTATTTTTACCTAGCCACATTACTACATTAGCTTGAGAGGTATGAGTCATAAAGTATTATGTCTCCAAAAATAAGAATTGGGGATATATGACTCAAAAATACATAGAATAGTGTCAGGAAGATGGCAGAATCTATGCTTAGAGCAGCAAATGCCTTCTTGTGAACTTCAATCCTTCAGTAAAGATCAACTAAGTAAATAGATGCTTACAATTTTTGTGGAAATCATGTGGAGAATTGAGTTTTCAATTTAGGTTGACTTGGGGAAGCATGGATAAAATCTGAATGTTTGAGAGGACCAGGAGCCTGGGAGTCCATGAGCTAAAATTCTTCTTTGTCTGCCATGTTTCACCCCGACTCGTCACAGCAGGTGCAGATAATCAGGGACGACTTTGGGACACATGAGAAACTGGGAGCTGGATGCTCCAGAAGACTAAAGATGGAAGACTGTGGGCTTAGGAATCAAAACTTCCTAGTCTGAAATCCAGCTCTAACAGGTACCAGCTGTATGATCTTGGCGTCACTATTAACCTCCCTGTTTCCTGAGTTTCCCCAAGTGAATAATCATACCATCTTCATAAGTTTGTGATGGGAATTAAATGAACCAATATATACAAATTACTTAATACTATCTGACCGTGTCCCCTAAAAGTTATATATTCAGTATTACCTTTATCATTATAGATAGTAGTTAGATATTATTGTTATTAGGTAGTGTTTTGGTTATAGCAACAATTTAAAAAAACAGATCCTCTGCCCTCAAGCACTTATGATGCAGCGTGACAACCCTGGCCAGTGGCTGGTGGAGGTAGAGTACCACGACAACAAGCTGAGGTCATGTGTCCAGCCCTAGAATCATGGAGTCATTACTAGCACCAGGGGCATGGTACAGGCATGATGTCTGGGGGAATCAATATGACCCCAATAAGGGTCTATGCAAATGCTCATGGAAAAGCTGTTCCAAATCTTGTCTCCTGCTGGGATGGGAGAGAAGACAGGCTCCCAAATGGAAATCAACAGGAGCAGGTGAGATGGGCTGAGAGGGTGAGGAGGCATCATGTAGAAATACACCCATGTAGAGCAGGCTGCACTCACCTATGAGTCCTGGCAGCAGAGGAAGTGGCAGGGGTTGTCCAGATGGGCTGGGAAACAGGGATGGACATGGCCTGCCCTGTCAGACTGTGTCTCATGGAGAGAACCCAGACTCTGCTCTGCAGGAAAGGAGGGCATCTGCTCACCTGCTATGTTGTCTGAGGAGTGAGGTAGCTGTAGGGAGAAAGGACCTTGAGACTGGGACCATCCTCCATTGTGAAAGAGGAAGCGGACACAGTTGCCACCTCTGGGATGTTGTCAGTGTCTGTGCTTGGGGTTCCCAGGCCTGGGGAGCATTAGCTAGTACTGGAGAGAGGTCAACTGCTCCAGAACCTGCTGTTTCAGAGGCACTCATCTCATGCCAGGGGTCCCATGACCCTTCCTCATTGACAGCCCAGACCGAGAGGGCTCTGCAGCTAAGGACTGAGCTTGCAGCTTCAGAGACCATAATTCCAGGTGTGGTACATTTGAGGGCTTGTGGCTGTAGCAAACTTCTGGGATGAAACCAAATCCCCTGGACAACCCCTGCAAAAGTAACTTAAGACAACACCAAGGAACAAGCTGAGTAAATCAAAAACGACAATTCTTCTTAGATCTGTCAGAAAAAATGAGATCACAGGGCAAACCACTGTCCCCAGAACTGGGGAGCTGGGCAGGGTGATATAGAGAATCACAACTTCCTAAAGCCAAAACCTCTGTGGGAACCAGTACCGGGGAGGAAAAGCTGCACTGTAATTGAAGAATTTCTTGAGGCTCAGTGTGGGCCAGTCTTAGAAACAGGCTCCAGGAGGACCCAATAACGGAGGTCTCCCACACTTTTGTGAGTTTTACCTCTGGGAAGTTGATTAGCTCCTCAGAGTGAATATGGGAGAAATACTCACTTGTGCTTCCAGGACACGGAGAGGAAAAGTAATCATTTCAAAATATACCAGAGTGTCCTGTTGTTCTTTCGCTTGTTCCGTATAGTAAATATACAAGACAAAGGCAACACTGTTCCAATTACTGTTGATATATTTTTACAAAGAAATAAAACAATTTGACACTCAGTGTTTCTAATGCTTTGAATTACAGTGTACTAAATATTTGTTTGAACTTCCTGCTACATTTCTAACTGACAATATGACAGTTTCTAATATTTTGACAAAAATTATGAAGATCACAGAACAACCATTATTTTTCCCATTGAATGTAGAGTTGTTTTCCAGGACTTCATGGTTTCCAGTTATCTTTACAATCCTGCACTGCCATGCAAAGTAAGAACATGCAAAATAAGCACACGTGGTAATATAATACAGTGCTAAGTAGAAAAACTGATCAGGATAAGAGGAACTGAAATTCTAGGATAAGAGAGGAAAACGACAATTTTTCCTAACCATGGTTTACAAAATGTGTCTTTAATAAAGTGAAATTTGAACAGAAACTTACTTGAAGGAAAGAAAAGAGTGAGCCATGCAGCTGTTTTGGGGAAGAAGCAGAGGAATGATACGATTTGACTTTTCCAAAAAAAATCATTGTGACTGAAAATTGCAGTCCAGTAGAGACGATAGCAACAGTTTGGAAGAGATGATACTGATTGGGACCAGGAAGGAGTGATGGAGGTGAGAAGCACACAGGTTATAAACACAACTCAGGCTTGGGCTGGTTCAAGAGAGCCAATTGTCAAACTTTCAGGAATTTTGCAATCCGGTTGCTAAACTGTTGGAAGCTTGAATTGGCCATATTGGGAGTATTTACACTACCAAAATTGGCAAGCGCTATAAATCAGCCTTCTTTATCCTTTTGAAGAGTCAACTGTTATACATTTGTCATCTCACCAGTGGACATAAGCATTTTGAAGCAGAATTGAATATTGCATGTAAATGTAAACGAAATCGAGGAGGACTCCAAAGCTTTTGGACTGTCACAGCATTCCTGCCATAAGCAACAGGGTTAGGAAAGTTGCAGATTGTCAGAAACAACTAGTGTTTCCATCCCAGAGAGAGGAGGGAGAACTGCTTTCTTTGTAGGTGGGAGGAGTAGGACGCTGTCTTAGTCCATGTGTGTTGCTGTAAAGAAATACCTGAGGCTGGGTAATTTACAAAGAAAAGATATATTTGGCTTGTGGTTCTGCAGGCTGTACAAGAGCATGGTGTCAGCATCTGCTTCTGATGAGGCCCTTGGACTGCTTCTACTCATGGTGGGAGACAAAGAGGAACTGGCATCACATGGTGAGAGAGGAAGGAAGAGAGAGAGAGAAG